GCAGTAATTCGCAACCACAAGCCGGGCTGGACGGGACACGATGACAGGAAACCAGGAAATAGAGACGAGTTTGTTACAGGTAAAGTGGCAGACGCGTGAGGGAGGCAAGATGAAAACAAGACCTGTCGGCAGCAAATGCAACGGCAATACGGAGAACAGAGTACACTTGCCCCGCTTACGTATGACGGCAGAAGTGAGAGTCGAGAGAGGGACAGAGGCAGAGAGGGTACGATATGAAATGCAACGACAAGACGGACGTGACGAGGTAAGAGACAGGAATGGTTCACACGAACGGGCAAAGACACGAGCTTCAGGATGGCCCGGAGTCCGAAGTACCTCTGGCCTGTACAGATGGCAGGACCCTGAAAAGCCGCTGTGCAGGGGGGCCTTCCCAGTTTTTTCTTTCCAGAGTTTGTCGAGGCGTCGTACTGTGTGCACAGTACGACGTAAACTACGGAGTAGCCCCTAGTCATTTTGGCAGTTTTGCCATTTGGCTATTTTGCCCTCGTCATTTTGGGCCCATTCTCTTTCAGGCAGGAGGACAGTTTTGGCGCCGGAGCATTCTGCTGTAGAAACCTGTCTCCGTCTCCTGTCTATTCTCGAGGAAGATGGTCTAACAAAGCAAAAGCAAAGCTTATTTTCTTTTTGTTTCTTTCGTTTTTGTCCTTTCTCAGCATCCGCACCTAATTATGTAGGTTTATGCTGTTGCCTGTCTCTCCTGTCGCGTTCTTCATCTATCGTATCTGCTTGGTTCTCGTATTCCCTTTTCAGCATTGCCGTCCGTGGCTGGCGAAACTTGTCACCAGGTGGTCTCGAAAGGCAAAGTAAGAATGCAAAGTAAGAATGCAAAGTAAGAATAACGGGTCTGCACCTCATATTGGCCAATCAACATACACGTTCCGACCAATGACATAATGTGGCCTGCTGCAATGCCTCAAAAGCAGAGAGGCGAGGCAACATTCGACATCCTCTGCAGAAAACAAGATATTCTGTAACGCCTGTCTCCACGACTTGCGAGGCTGTGCTGATGACTATTCTTTTCCTCGTCTCTTTTCCTCGTCTCTTTTTCTCTCTCTGTATCGAGTAATAAGGCCAACCCCACAAAGGACCTCTGAATTCTCGACCACGCGCGGAGATCGGATGCTCCTCCGCATTTTTGTCCATTGTGTTCTTTGCCTCTGATGTTGGCCAATTTGGAGACATACCTTTGCCTTTTGTTTCTGTTCACGCCCGTGTTGAATCCGGGCTCTGGTCTGGGCAATATCCGCTGTAGCGTGACTTCATTTGCCGCCTGACGATGCCACTCTTAGAACAATCCTTTTTCCTTATGGTCGGCACAGATCAGACATATCTGTCGTCTTACACACAACTGCAGGGCGACCCTAGTGTAAGTAGGCATTGGGGCATTTTGGTCCTGGTGGTGGATTGGCATTTGAGGATTGGGTGCTCTTTGTTTGTTGCATCGTAATTTACAGAATTGCTGTCTTGTCGACTTTTATTTGCATTTGTATTTATTTTTTCTACCGCTTCCTTTTACGCAGTCGTCGTTCTCTCTTTCGAATTCCTTTCGACTTCTCGTCGTATGCCTTTTTGTGTTTGCTTCCTTTTTGACCCGTTTGTCTTGGAAACCGTCGCTCCAGCTGACCAAAAGTAGCTGTATTTTCTTTTCTTTTCTCATGTTCCCTTTCCCTGTCCTTCCCCTTTACCTTGTAAAGACACCCCTCACCTCCCCCCGACCGCCAAAAACCCTGTTCCTTAGCCCATGAAGCTGGCTCGCTCGTTGCCACACACCACCGGAGCCACTACCAGACACGAATTTGCATTTGCATTTTTGCGTTTTCCTTTAGCTCTCTGTCCCTTGTCCCTGTCTCTTGGGCTTTCCATCGTTTCTCAGTCTTCTCTGCTCCCCCACACCCCTCCCCTGGTACGCCTTTCGTCATTGTCTTCCTTCAAGCCATACCCATTATGCTCAACGTCTGTTGACGGCTCTGGCCTTTTGCCACTTCCGCCAAAAGAAACATCCGGGCCCCATATATTGTCCAGTCTTCCAGCCAGTTGGGCCGTAAACATGTGCCTGGCAAACCGACCTCTTGTGATTCTTCTGTGATTCTTTGTTCAAGTACTGTTTACCTCTGTCTATTTCCCACACTCTCGACGCTCTGCCAGGTCACAAGATTACAAAAACGACGGCTGCTTGTTGCATAGTATTGTCGTCTCGACTGTTATTCCCTCCCAAGTCTGCTGGTCGTCTCAAAAGGCGACTCTACACACAAAGGACTCCTGTTCGTTTCTTTTGTCATTCTTTTTCTGCTGCCTTTTTTCGCTCCCCTGCCCTCCATTTCCCATTTCCCATTTCCCGCGCTTCCTATGACCCCACTGGCATCTCCACCAGCCGACTCGTACTCCGTCATTCGTACGCCGCCATCGTCTGTCGTACGTCGGTTAAGGGTCTAGTTCAACGGCCACCAAACTCCTGAGGCTCGCCGCTTTTGTCTCCCCTCTCCTTTTGCCTCGTAGTATTTTGCATGCCCGCACTAACTACTCTGACATTACACGACACGAACTCGGCTTTCGTCATCCAATTTAACAAAATTTGTCGGTTTTTTGTTCTCTGTAACTACTGCGAAATACAACCTCACGACGAGTTGACAGTATTTCACCATTGTACACCATACGGAATATCTCCTCTCCTCGACTCTTCCCCAATTCTCACCTGGTGCACGCCGATCTTTTCGGGTCCGTCAGCCGTGCCCATCAGCGGCGCCACAAGCGCTCAGACGGAACTTGCCAGACAAGCCAAGCTTCTCTCTGCAGGCCGCCGTTCGCATCCACGCTGCCCATCGTTGCCCTTTGTTGCTCGTAGTTTGTGAACGTCACGTTTGTCGACATGCGTCTACCGAGACTTGATATTGTGCTCACCTTGCGGCGTGTTTACAAAAATAAAAAAATAAAATAAAAAAAATCACAACCCACGGGTGTGGAAGCAGAGGCAACCCCCTTTTTCCCCCTCGAACAAGAACATAAGAGGATCAAATCAGATAGTCATAAATCAGAGAAAAAGAGGCAAAAATTTAAAAAAGAGACAGCGCTCTAAGCGAAAGGAAATGCCGAGGAATGAAGCTTCTCGACCAAATACCGAAACAAAGGTAAGGGGAAGCACCCATCATTTTTACATTGCTGGCTCCGCGGGGTGGGGAGGGGGGGACGATGGGCGAGGGGAGATGCTTTTGTCGATCATGTTGTGATGGCGCCCCGGAGAAAATGAGTATGGGTTAGGTAGCTGGCTCCTGGGCAGCTGGGAAGGGATATTTTGTCCCTGTCCGTCCAGTCTGCCATCTTGGCCTGCGCCGTCTCCCGCGCGTCTCTCTCGCCCGGTCCTGGCTGTCTCGGGATGCGGTGCCGGTTCTTGGCCTGCTTTCTACATATGGCAGACTCAGCTGGCCCTGGACGGATCTTCCTGTCTTGCGCTTGTCCCCTCAGCCGACGCCATTCCAGGCTTCATCTCGGTCCTGTCTTTTGTGTGTGTGTTTGTTTTTCTTCTTCCATTTTAAATCTTGGACCCGGTTGCTTGCTAGTCATTTTACACTTTCTGCACGGCAGATTGGCCGCAGATTGGAGTCCGCTAACACGGCGACACGGCATCAAGTTAATATTTGACCGCTGCTGTTGTCGCTATTGCACTTTGGCGTTGTGAGACATGCAGGAAATCCTACGGGAGTTGTCAACGTACATGAGCGATATCCGCTTCACCAAATACCACGACAAAGTACTTTGTGCATCGCCACACGTCCCAGCGACCCAACCAACAGACATTGCGCCATACGCCGTCCTAAACGTTTCTAGTCGGCCACCAGAAGCAGAGGAAACAAACGCAGACGACAGACGACAGACGACAGAAGACAGACAACAGTTCGTACTCGGTGGTCATGTTCAGGTCGTCTTGACCGCGGCTGTCTTCTGTTTGCCCTGTCCCAAGCTTCACTTTAGACTTGCCGATCTTTCTTTTCGTTTTATTTTCATTCCGTTTTAGTCTTCTTTTAAAGCACACTTGCCTCTGTGCTCCTCTTGGTCTCCTTTTGTGTTATCCCCTTTTCGTCCACTGCTGGGTCCCGCCCCCCCCCCCACCAGAAGCGCGCCAAAAGGCACCAAGACGAGCAAAGAGCTGACAGCTAACGGCACCTGCTCAAGTCTTGTGTCTTTTTGTTTTTTGTTCGCCCACGCCCACTACCACTACCATAATCCACAACCGCACTACACCTACTCCCACTCCCACTTCTACCGCCCACCCCCTCCCCACTGGGGCAAGATACAAGCTACGAGTACCGTCCTCGAGCAGACTAACAAGCCAAAGGACGACGTTAAAGACGACCGACTAAAATTCCAAAAAGGACCACCAAAAAAGGCTAAAAGTCCAGAAAGAGACACACTGGAGGAATCCCTTCACACATGCAACTCACACGCATACGTTGTAATACGCCTCACTTCACCTTGTGCGGGAGAAGCCTATTTGATCATTGCCAATCCCTTTCTTTTTCTTTTCCTTTTTCTTTTTGCTCTCTCCTGTTCTCCCTTGTCTTCCTTGTTTATTATCATACCTCTCGACATCAAACAACATAATTTTCTCTTTGCTTAATATCTTCATCTTCCCTCTTCCTTTTCTCTTCCTCTTTCCTCTTTCCTTGATATTCATATCCTTTCTCGCCTCGACTTCAAATTGAACATACCCGATATATGTCCCCGCCGGCAATCGTATATCAGATCGTCCTCGCTTGACATTGCCAACGATCATCACAAAGTATCACCAAAGTATCACCAAAGTAAAGTACCGCCACCGTCTTACTGCCAATCGAACAAACGGCAGGCACGACCCTGACGATCTTCGACATTCGCACCTGCCATCTGCGAAGTGGGAGGCATCACAGACGCAGACCGCTCCTTCCTCACGTTGCCTTGTTCCCTCTTGCACATTTCAAACCACGCAACCTCAACCAGCCGTCAGAATGACCATGGCCGTGGACTCCAGCCAACAGCGCTACCTCAACAACTTTGACCACATGAATTCCTACTCACATCACACGGCCGCCGCGCCACACTTTACCAACCCGTGGACCGCGCCGTCCGGCGCCAGCCAGCAGAATGCCTACAGCAGCATGCAGCAGCACCCGTCGCTCGGTGGCATTGACAGCCTGCGCCAACATCACCAGCAACAGCAGCCGCAGCCACATCAACAGCTTCCGCAGCCTCACTCGCAGCAGCCGCAGCAGCCGCACCATCACCAGCTGCCACAGCCCTCACCACACCACCACCAGGCGCCACACCACGCACAGCACTCGCCCGTGACGCAGCAGCACCCGCAGCAGCAATCCCCGAGCCACCACCAGCAGCCGCACCCGCACCACCAGCAACAGCAGCAGCAGCAGCACCAGCACAGCCATCAGCAGGCACAGGCGCAACGGACACCACAGGCGCAGCAGCAGTCCCTCCAGGGCCCGCCGCGTCCGCCCAGCCAGCAGCCGCTGCCGCCTGCGCCCACCCTGCACCGCAACGGCAGCACCAGCATGGCCCCCAGCGCGCCGATGGCGTACGGCACGGCCGGCGGCATGGCCGTCTCGCTGCCGCAGGCCGGTGCCCTGGGCGGCGCCACGACGACGAGCGCGGGCTACGCCGACTCCAGCAACTTGGCCGCCTCGTACTCGGCTCCCTCGCCCATCCACCCGACGGCGGCGTATGCCGCGGCCGCCACGCCGTACGACCAGATGGGCTACGCACCCGCGACGACGATGCGCGGCGCGGCGCCGCCGCCGCCCGGTGGCGCCTTTGGCCTTGATGCGTCGGCGGCCGAGGTGGCCCGCCGCTTCTCGCAAGACGCGGCGGCGGCGGCAGCGGCGGCGGCCGCTGCTGGGGCGCACCAGGGCGACAACCGCCGCGGGTTCCAGGACGCGCTCGAGGCCAGCCAGGGCATGATGTCGCTCAACAGCCAGGACACGCCGCGGCCGCTGGGGTACCCGAGCACCACCGCTGGCGGCGGCAGTGCGGGCAGCAACGGCCTGGCCCGCTCGGCGCGCGGCTCGGCCGACTCGTACGGGTTCCCCTCGACGGCGCACAGCACGAGCTCGAGCGTGTCGAGCCAGAGCTTCGGCGGCTTCTACACGACGGGCGGCAGCTCCATCGACTCCAACTCCAACATCAGCGACTACTCGGGCTCCGACATGGAGGGCGTCTCGTCGCGCCGGCACCACCACATGCTGCACGGCGGCGTGCCGCCACCGCCGGCACCGCACCACCACGGCGTGCACGGCGCAGCCGCCGCGGTGCACCCGGGCCAGCGCCACCAGCCGCCGTTTGTCGGGTCGGTGCCGCCGGCGCCGCAGTCCATGATGGGCCAGTTCAGCTCCAAGATGACCAACTCGGCGCAGAAGAAGCACAAGTGCAAGGTGTGCGACAAGCGCTTCACGCGGCCCAGTTCGCTGCAGACGCACATGTACAGCCACACGGGCGAGAAGCGTGAGTAACCTCCCTTTTTCTTATAATGGCGTTGACAATATACTAATGGTTTCTTGTAGCCTTCCGTTGTGAGGTTCCCGGATGTGGCCGCAACTTCAGCGTCGTGTCCAACCTGCGCCGTCATCGCAAGGTCCACAAGGACCTGACGCCGTCCGAGGCCGGCTCAGACGACCACCACAATTCGGAGTAGACGTGCAGTCTGCCTGAAAACTGAAAAAAAATAAGCAAAAATATATCAAAAAAGGAATGTGATGCGTCTTCTTATTCTGTTTCTCCCTCTTCGTTTATTTCTTTCTACGACACAAAAAAGGGAACAACAGACGGTTTCTGGCGGTTCCGGACTGGTCCTGGGCGGTTTTGTTCTATCGGGTTTCCCAGGACTGGAGGCGGGCGGGGAACTGGGTCTTACGAGATTGGAAATTCGGGTTCGGTTCGGTTCGGTTTGCGTTTATGCCCTCTACGGGAGGCCTTTTTGTGTTTTGTTTTGCTTTTTGCTTTTTGCTTTTGCATTTTGCATGTTGCATTTTGCATTTTCCCTTGCTTTTGGTCTCCTGTTCATGGGTTTTGACTATTGTCTCTTGCATCGATTCCCCCCTGTTTTGATGGCCAAACTATAAGGTATATAGGTTGCTTGTTGCTTCCAACAAGACGAGGCCGTCGTGCGTGTTTGTGTTTGTTTTGCATTTATTTCCTGTTCTTTTTCCTATGACGAGTCGCAATGTCCTTCCACATCACTACATCAACCCTCCTGCTCCCTCCCCTCCAATTCTTTCCCTCTGGCTTCCATTTTTAATCCTCTTCTTTTTACCACATCTTTTTTGTGCGAACCAGATCACCTCGTATATATTTTACTCCTCTTTTAGTACTACTACCCCCTTTTAGTATTTATTTATCTGTTACGAGCCGTTTTTCTCCAATACCATGCAAATTCTTTTTAAGTTTCCACGTTCAAGTGCTACATATTCTGTCCTGAAATTGGACGTACATTGCATTTTCGTGATACTCGTATACTCTAATAAATGCTGTTGCTGCTGTGTGAATACTACTGATGATCCATGACGATCGTCGTCATGTGCGTCGTTTGCGTCCCGCCGCGCTGGTACGATCGATAAAGGACGTACAGATGTACAGATGTACAGATGTCAAGGATGTGCAGGATGTTCAGGGGAGATGGGTGGGGGTCGGACGCGGATTGAATGCTTGCCCATCCGTACGTTTTCACATGTCGCACTTTGCAGTTTGTACACTGGCAAGCTGATAGGCTCTCGGTACACTTGTTAGTCTGCCTCTTTGCGTACTTTGGCCTTTCTGTCCTTTTTTTCCGCGGCTCCGTCTATCGAACTACAAACACTAAACACAATCTCCAATCGCCTCTGGGCATCAAGCAACTCGCCGCCGCTCCACATCGCCCGCATCAGGGCCGTTTGGCACCGTCGCGCGGATCGATCAGCATCTGGGGAGGATGGCAGAGCGCTTTTATAGGTCGCTGGTGGCAAAGAACTCCATGCAACTTGAACGGAACATTTCTGGAAGGGATACCTGGATACCTTATTGATTGATACGACGTAAAGTAGCATTATGTTGCGATCCTTTTTTCTACCGCTTTTCATTTTCTGTACCTCGTACGACCAACATTCTGTTCTCCGACTCGATGACGTAGTTTTGTGTGCAACCCATCGGCCTGAATGGCGATGCAAACAAGGAACACAGAGTATCAACATAAGCAGTGAGACTGCGGAGTACGTTTTCGTCTCGTACTCTCCAAAAAGTCAGGCTGCAAACAACATCCGTTGTCGTCTGCACTTTGCACTGCACCTCACCGGATTTCGTCGCTGCTACTATCTTGATGCCAAGAACCGGTAGACGAACGACCTGACGACGTATGTGTATTGCCGCAAACCAATTGTCACCCACAAATGGGCATCAGAAACGCGTGTTTTGCTGTCCGATGCATTCGTTATGACGGATGCGCCTCTTTTGCAAACTCTGACACACGACGTGCAGGGAACAGATGTCGTTCTGGTCGTCTATATTGCGTTGCGATATAGATGCCGCGCTGTGGTTGGAGACGATTTTGGTGCGTTATCAATATCTCTGCTCACCATTACACAATGCTCACAACCAAAGGCAAACAAGGTGACACGACGCGCTCCTTCCCAAACGACGTGGAACATGATCGACGATTTAGGAAGGAGCAATGGTGTCGCAGTGGACCGCACCTTCCGCGCGTTCGCAAGATCTCGCTCCTTCCTTGACAGTGATACGTTGTGCGCGTTTTCTGAGATGTCGACAGGATTGGTTGGAACTTTGTGCTTCCTTTTCACTCTGACAAATTCTCGTCGCGATTTGGACGCGTCCACAACCGTAACGCTTGTCATCTTCCCGTTGTCCCAAAACAGACGGCGACTCGATATTACGACTTGCAACGCATACTAGCATGGTCCGGCATTGCTATCACATTCGGCGTCAACTGCGAACTCGGCCTCTACATCGCATCACGGCGAAAACTGTCGGATCGCAAAAATGGCTTCCCAAGCAGAAGTACGACTTGCATCACTCCTTGCATCGTCCTTGGAGAGACGCTGAGTGACAGCTCGCGGCATCTCTGGATCTTGTCGTTAAACACTGAAGAATTGGTACGAATCTGTAGGTGTTGTCGTTCCATATCCACCTTTGCGTTCGAGTATAAAGGAACACATGAATAACAGTCGCAACAGTTATACAGTCCAACACTGCCCCAGCGACAACGAGCACCACAGCGCGCTCCCAGGCCCAGGTTTCTGAGGTAAGAAGGATACGAGGGAAGAGGGGAGAAAAAAAAAGAAATGGGGATAAATCTGGAAGAAGGAAATATTAACAACGCAAAGTGCCGTTCCCGTGATGGAAACAGGTGTTTGATCACAGGAGTGGGTGAAACAGACGTCTGCCATATATTCCCATTCGCAGCAAACAACAGCGACGACAGAATTCTACGACTGCTTGCTAGGCTCACTGCCCTGGACGTTTTCTTCGGCGACAGCTCCAATCTCCTGGTCCAGGAGCTGCACGGACAAGGCGTGGAACATGATTTACTTGACTCCGACGCTCCATGGGTATTGGGCAAAAGGTTACTTTGCCCTGCGCTGCCTCGGAGTGTCCCCAACCGAGCTGATGCAGACTCGACGGGAGCATGACGATGGAGAGACACCCGCATGGGTCGCCAGGATGGCCACATGCAGCGGCGGCAAGCGTCCGGTTCACGGAAAGATCATGCTCCAGATGGAGTGGCTTCCGGTTCAGCCCAGCAGGACCGCACCACGCTCCGGAGGCAAGCCGAACAAAACCAGCACCTGGAATGAAATTGTGCCATCGGAGGATCGAGAACATTGGTTTCGGTCGTGGGAACGGTCCGAGCGCTACGGTGAAGCTACAGAAAACAGTGATGCTGGTGAGGACGACGAAGTTGGCGGGACACCGGTGATCGGCGCAACGAACATACGGACGAGTCGTGCAGTAGAGACGGAGGACTGTTTTTCTGTCACTCTTCCCACAATGGAGGAAGCTTTCAAGATGAAGGCCATGATTGATATTCAACATGCATTCTTACGCATGGCAAGCTTGTCGGGTGCCGCAGGCGACCCCGATTTCCTGAAGCACAGTTTGGACGATTGGGAAGATGAGAATGGTGATGGAGCGGCGCACATTGGCCACCAAGAAAATGCCGAGGAGCATGACCCTTGGGTTTGAGCCGCGACAAGGCAAAGGCAACAAAACTATAATCCCACACATTTTCGAATATATGACCTTTTAAACACGTGAGAATAAATCTTAAAGTCTTGACTGGAAAACAGCAAAAGCAAGAACTTCGAAAACGCGAAAACGTGACGACACAAAATGCAAATCGTTTGCTGACTAACATGAAATGCCGTCTGTCGTCACGGTCGGGTCGATGGTGGGTTGCTCTTGCCAAATGCCGCCAAGGCACGGGTCCTGATTGGCTGGGACAAGCTGCCCCTCGCTCCTGCCTTGAACCTGGATGGGCTTCGTGCAGGGAATTGTACAATGAGGGCATGAGCAAGATTAGTCATTAGCCATTCGGCAGAGCCAACGCAGGACGAAGGATGAACCGACAACCGGCACCACGTGCGATTGCGCCAAAGCAGCAAATGTTGAGATCCCCACTTTAAAATTTTCGGGAGGACCCCTCCTTGACACTTAGCCGTTGCCATAGGTGTGTACGCCGCCATCTTGCTCACTCCTGCCTTTTCTTGTCCCTCCTTCTCTTTCCTCTCTCGTCTTTTGTCTCTCTCTTCTCTTTCTCTCCCTTCTTCTCTCTCTTCCTCTTCACCTCTCTTTTTGTGCATCACCATCTCTTGCATTGTAAGCACATCGCCCGACGCTGACCCGATTGTCGTGTCTGTCCAATTCCTAACCGGCGCCTTGTCGTCCTACAGATCTCTCTCGCCGGCCACCCTCGTCCGGAGTCGCCCGCCATATTTCTCTCATTTCGGCACCACATCGCCGAATTTCCCCCTCAACCCTCAATTCTTCACAATGTCTTCCAACGGTGTCACCGTGCCCTCGTGGCAGAAGCACCAGGCCGGCACGTTCCTGTTCACGGTATGTTTGTTGCGCTTTGCAGCATCTCCAACTGCTGCTACTGTGTTCTTCAGGGGAAACTGCATCTGCCCCTCCAACCGAGACCCCCCCCCCCTGACCTGGGCCTCACTGTGCTCCCCAACCTCCCTCACCTCGACTTCATCACCCCGCCTCCGTGCTTACTTCCTAAGCTTCAGCTTGTGCGGACCATTTGCTAACATGACTACCACTCCCAGTCCGAATCCGTCGGTGAGGGCCACCCCGACAAGATCGCCGATCAGGTCTCGGATGCCATCCTCGACGCCTGCCTGGCGGAGGACCCCCTGTCCAAGGTTGCCTGCGAGACGGCCACCAAGACCGGCATGGTCATGGTCTTTGGCGAGATCACCACCAAGACCAAGCTTGACTACCAGAAGGTCGTCCGCAACGCCGTCAAGGACATTGGCTACGACGACTCGGCCAAGGGCTTCGACTACAAGACGCTCAACCTGCTGGTCGCCATTGAGGAGCAGTCGCCCGACATTGCCCAGGGCCTGCACTACGAGAAGGCCCTCGAGGAGCTCGGTGCCGGCGACCAGGGCATCATGTTCGGCTACGCCACCGACGAGACCCCCGAGCTGTTCCCCCTGACGCTGCTGCTGGCCCACCGCCTCAACGCCGCCATGTCGGCGGCCCGCCGCGACGGCACCCTGCCGTGGCTGCGCCCGGACACCAAGACCCAGGTCACCGTCGAGTACAAGCACGACGGCGGTGCCGTCGTGCCCCAGCGCGTGCACACCGTCGTCGTGTCGGCCCAGCACGCCGAGGATATCACCACCGAGAAGCTGCGCTCGGAGATTACGGAGAAGATCATCAAGAAGGTCATCCCCAGCAAGTACCTGGACGACGAGACCATCTACCACGTGCAGCCCTCGGGCCTGTTCATCATTGGTGGTCCCCAGGGCGACGCCGGCCTGACCGGCCGCAAGATCATTGTCGACACCTACGGCGGCTGGGGTGCCCACGGCGGCGGTGCCTTCTCCGGCAAGGACTTCTCCAAGGTCGACCGCTCGGCGGCCTACCTGGGCCGCTGGATTGCCAAGTCCCTGGTCGCTGCCGGCCTCGCGCGCCGTGCCCTCGTCCAGCTCTCGTACGCCATTGGTGTCGCCGAGCCCCTGTCGCTGTTCGTGGAGACCTACGGCACCTCGGAGAAGTCGTCGGACGAGCTCGTCGAGATCATCCGCAACAACTTTGACATGCGCCCCGGTGTCATTGTCAAGGAGCTCGACCTGGCCAAGCCCATCTACTTCCAGACGGCCAAGAACGGCCACTTCGGCACCAACCAGGGCTTCTCTTGGGAGAAGCCCAAGACGCTCAAGTTCTAGAGAGTGTCGACCCGGCTCCACTCGCTTCTCGACAGCACAACGGGAACAGCTGCCCTCGCCTCTTGAAACGGAGTTCCTGGGACGGCTCTGCTCCTCTAGTCGCATAACAAAAATGACTTTTTGTTGTCCCCCCTCTCTTGGAGAGAGACTTGAAAAGCAAACGAGAAAAGGGACCACTGGGCAACTTGGGTGTTTTTATGGGCGAAAACGAATCAACTTCCTTTTCCCACCCGCCTGCTCTTTTGTGGTTCCTTCCCCTTTGTTTCTTTTCCTTTTAATTCACAACGCATCCGCTCCGCCTCCGTCCTCCCGTTCGGTCTCTCTCCGCTCTCTCTCTCCCCTCGTCTCCCGTCGCTTCCCTCCTCCCCGGACGATGGACCCGCTCTTCCTACTTCTCTCTTCATTTGTTTCTGTATTTTCCTTTTTCATCAAAAAGCATTTTTGTTATGCTCATGACCCACAACCAAAAACACAACCCATGGGGCGGGAATGATGACAAGCACTGGCGTACGGTTTCAACATACCTTGGTTTCTTTTTCATTGCAAAATATGAGAAAAGGGGTGGAAGGGCTATTCCATAATTGCGTGTTCTTTTTTTCTACTACCGTTTTTATATCATGATTGCCATATCGTCCACCATCGCATATCTAGACAGCTGCCATATGCAGACAACTACTATACAAATCTACAGATGCTTGGCAGACACGGCCTATGCAACGGGCAGTCTGCACATGAATTCATTTTTGTCCAGTCCGGTGAAGTCGAGTATGTGTCATTCCTGAAGCTGTCGGAGCTTGTGGCAGCCCCGGCGGTGAGCAGTGAGCAATGCTGTAATCCACACATGCAATCCACACAGGCAATTGGCAATGGAAGCGTGCGGCTGTCCCTGGCGGGTGCCATTTAGCGTAAGGAGCACGCCATCCCACTTTCTGTGTCTGTAGCAGTGCACTCCACTGCCTTTCGAGTCATAACGAAACCGGACTAAGGCGGCAGTTGGTCACACTACGTCAGGCCAATACGATGCCCAGATTTAGGCACGACTCGCGTGTCAACCGACATCGGCAGATACGACAAAAGAGGCATTGGAATATCTGTCTTTTTCGTCGCCTATCGAAAGGCCGTGTCTAAACGAACCAGACAGCCTGGGCCCTAATGTACACAAATCAACGGGAAGAGGAATGGACGAAAACAAGGGAATTCGTTTAATAAAACAGAGGAGTATAGACCATGAAAATGGAAACAAAGAAATTCAAGTCAAATGTAAATGGATAACCCGCTGTAGGAACCATGTCCCCGAATCCGTTTGCACCAAATACAAAAATACCAAAAAAAGTGGGACAGACGAAACACGTATTACGTACACCCTCGCTTTTCGTTCTCCTGCTTCTCGCTACAGCATCACCGCCAGCTCGGGCCGGTCGACCCTGTCCTCCTCCAGGTCCGGGTAGTACGGCACCATGGCGTCGGCGGCGCCAATGTAGCAGTCCGACAGCACGCGCCAGTAGATGGTGCGCACCTTGCGGGCCGGGTGGAAGAGGCCGGCCCAGACGTAGTTGAGCACGAGCCCGGGGCCGACGGCGACGCGGATGGCCTCGACGGCCTCGACGATGCGGTCGATGACGTGGGGGCTGGTCTCAAAGAGGTTGGGGTACAGCAGGTTCAGCAGGTGCACCATGGCGTCCTCGCAGCCGAGGCCCACGACGCCGAGGGCAATGTGCTTGACGACGGACGCGGCCGTCTGCCGGTGCACCTGGTCGCGGTCGATGAGGGCGTCCTCGAGCAGCGGCGTGACGGCGTAGACGTAGTCCTTGGCCATCTCGCCAATGTATTCGAACAAGAACGACAGCGACTTGAGCACGCCGTTCTGCACGTTGAGCTCGGGCACGCGGTACTCGTTCATGAGCGCCGGCAGCACCGTAAAGGGCGCGCAGGTCTCGGCCACGATGCCGATGGCGACGGCCGTGTTGACGCGCGACTGGCGCTCCTGCACGCGCAGGTTGTTGAGCAGCGTGGCCAGCACGTCCTGCGGGCCGATGGCCTTGGCGATGAAGCCAAACGTGTTGTTGGCGGCGCGGCGGATGCCCTTCTTGTGCGCCTTGAGCATGTCGAGCAGCTCAAAGCAGATGCGCATCCACTCGCGCGCGTTGACCGACTCGGGCCCGCGGTCGGCAATGCGGCCCACCAGGTCGATGGTGTTCTCCTGCACCTTTTCGTGGCGGTTGCGCAGGATGGGCGTCAGGCGCGGCAGAAGGTCCTTGATGGGCGGCTGCATCTGGCTGATGCCCACGACGGTGACAATGGACCGCAGCGCGCCCAGGATGGACCCCAGCACCTCGGGGTACTCCTCGCCGAGGTACTCGTAGAGCACGATGCCCAGCTTGCCCATGAGCGCGTCCTCGCCGCACTGCTTCATCACCATGGCGATGCGCGAGATGAGGTCGGCGGCCTGCTGGCGCACCGTGGCGGACTTGTTGTTGAGCCGCCACAGGATGGTGCTGACAATCTGCGGCAGGTACGGCTTGCAGCGCGCGCCGAGGGCGTTGACGACCGACCCAAAGCCGTTGAGCATCACAATGTCCTCGACCGTCTGCTCCTGGAAGGCGTGCAGGATGCCGTCGACGAGCCGCTCCTCGAGGCGCTCGCCAATGTCCGCGGCGCCCAGCGACGACACGAGCTTCTCGACCGTCTCGACCGTCATGCGGCGGTACGACTCGCTCTCGTCCTTGAGGTGGGCGACGATGCGCTCGAGGATCTCGCCGACGCCGACCTTCTGGCCAATGTCGACCGTCGTCTCGACCACCTGGCGGTAGTTGCGCTTGTCGAGCGCCATGCGGCGCACCCAGAAGCCCTTGAAGAACTCGTCGAGCACGTGCTCTTTGAGGTAGCCCGCGGTGACGCCCTCGGTGCTCGCGCACTGCGACACCACCTTGAGCACGACCTTTTTCATCTCCTCGTCGGGCGACGAGAACTCGCGCAGCAGAATCTCCATGATCTGGCTCGTGTAGTAGTTGGCGTACTCCTCGTCCATCAGCGGGATGATGTAGCCCACCGCCTTCAGGAAGCCGGCCAGGCCTTTGCCGCGCTGCTTGCGCGCGCCCGTCCACAGCGGGTTCAGGATGTCGTCGAAGCTCTCGATGCCGTAGGGGTTGGACGCCTCGGCCAGCGCCGCAATGGCCAGGCTCGTCACCGTGCGCACCTTGGTCTGCTCGTCGTTGAGGCAGGGCGCGATGCAGTCCACCAGCCGCTTGAGGTACGGCAGGATGGCGCAGCCCATGAGGATGGGGATCTGCTGCACAATCTTGACGCCCGTGTGCCGGGCCTGCCACGACTTTTTGCTGCGGCAGACGGCCTGCAAAAACGGAAGAAGCGCGGGGATGCCGAGGGCCGACGCCACGACGGCAAAGGCCCGCGCGGTCGTGTTGCGCACGTACTCGTCGACGTGGTCGATGTCGGGCCGCATGGTGCTGATCATGGTGGCGAGGCCGGCGGCCTTACTGAGGTTCGAGATGATCTCGCTGCCCTCGACGCGGGCGTAGTAGTCCTGGTCGATGAGCAGCGGCTCGATGACGACGAGGATCTTGTGCACGTACGGCCGCACCATGTCGTCGAGCTTGTAGAGGATGCGGTCGATGACCTTGACCAGCAGGTGGCGCTCCTGGTCCTCAAGCGACTTCTCCATCAGCAGCGGCAGGATCTGGTTGAAGAGGGGCCCCGCGCCGAAGCTGCGCGCGTTGTCGGTGAGCTGGCGCAGCGCCGTCTTGCGCATGGGCGGCGTGCCGTTCTTGACCTTGAGGAGCAGGCGCATGATCTTGCGCTCCTTGAGTTCCTCGACGCTTAGCGTGTCCTCGTTGGCGCCGTCGGACAGCTTGCCAAAGTAGGCGACGTCCTCGGGCTTGAGGAACTGCAGGTCGTACATGCCGGGGATCTGGTTGGGCACGGGCGCGCCGTTCATGCGGCTGCTGTCCGGGTCCTGCATGGTGAAGCCGGCGGCGGGGGCCGGGGTCTGGACGATGCGGTGGGTGGGCGCGCGCGTGGGGGCGTAGCCCGGGGGCGGCTCGAGGATCTTGTAGCCCTCGTCGGCGCCGGGGAGCATCTCGTCGAGCTCTTCGTCGCTGATGGGCGCGTTGCGCGCGGACAGGTCGTTGCCAAACCCGATCATCGCCGGCAGACCGGCACCGGCCCCAGCACCAGCACCAGTACCCTCGGACGGGTGCATCGGCGTGACGAGGCCCGCGGTGTTGCCAATGGGCGTGGCCGAGGGTGCCTGGTCCCAGCGGGAGCGCTTCTTTGTGTCGACGGCGCCTGCTGCTGTCCCTGGAACGGCGGGTGCCTGGTCCCACCGCGAGCGCTTCTTGGTGTCGGGCTCGGCCTCTTCCTTCTTGACGACGGCCCCTGCGGCCGCCGGATCCGCGACATCCCACCGCTTCTTGCGCTTGCGGCCCGCGGCCAGTTCGGTGGACCCGGCCTCTTCGTTCTCCTTGTCGGGGTAGGTGAGTGTTGGCTTGTGCTCCGTGGCCCTGGCGCCGTCGTCGCCGCTGCCGTCGCCGTTCGCGGCGGCCTCGCGGCGCTTCGCCTCAATGGCCTGCCGCACACGCTGCTCTTCGCGCTCAATCTCGCGCCGCTCCATGATCTCGCGGTAGCCCTCGGCCTTGGGCTCGCCATTCGACGACGCGGTGGCGGTGGCGCCGGCGTTGCGGTTGGCCGCAAAGGGGTCGGCGCGCGTCGGCGTCAGCACGCGGTCGAAACGGCGCTTCTGGTAGTCGGTCTCGCGGTCGGCGATGCGGTTGCTGCGCTCGCCGCGGCTCAGCAGGACGTCCTCTTCTTCGACGCCCGCGCCGCGCGCAAACTCGTCGATCTGGGCACGCGTTGCCGTGTACTGGCCGACGAGCCGCCGCGAGCGGTCTGCCGAGGCATCGGGCATGTCGTCGTCGTCGTCGTCGCCGTTGCCCGCCGGCAGCGATGTGTGATAGCCGGCAAACTTGTCCTCGCCCGTGCCGTACAGCTCCGTATCGACCGTGTCCGTCAGCTTGACTTTGGTCGACGAGCCGACGCGCTGGCTGGACGGGTCGAGGGAGGCCCCCTTTCTGGCCGCGGCCGCCGCATTGCGCTCCTGCTGCAGCTTCTTGATCTGGTCGAAATCGGCGTTCGACATGGTGGCGGCGGTCTGTGGTACGTCGTCCTATTTGTCGCGTTCGGTCGGCGTTGGCGTCAGCTTCTTTGGGAGCAGTGCGTGGATGTGCCCCTATCTATGTGCACATCCTTTTGTCATTTGGCTCGACAGCGTCGGGGCCGCGCTGTGTCGATGGAAACGTAAACTCGGGAGGTTCAGCAACCGCACTCGTCGTGTAGGATGGCCGTTGGTGATGCGAGTGATCGGAGGCAAGGGACCGTCTGTTGTGAATGAGCTCTTGATGGTCGCTTTTGCCTCAAAATTTTCGCCTGCGCGACGGAAGGCTACTTAGCTCGAGACGCAGGCAAATTTGCAGGGCGACTGTGTTAGGTAAGGACTTGTCACGTGATCATGTATATTTGCTAATAAAACATGCCGGGAAGTACATATTCTGTCATTCCCTGTAACCGTCCTTCGCAGTCGCTGTATTTGTACACTATTCTTACACTAAATCCACAAAAGACGCTGTATTTACATCAGCCTCGTCTCCTCCGTTTTGGCCTCGTTTGCACGTCTTGGACGACGGCCACTTTGGTCTCTTCCTCGACTTTGACGACTGTTGTCCGTTTTCTTTTCGCTGTCGTGACTCTGCTGGATCGTGCGACAGAATCCTTCTCCTCCATGTCCTCAAGTATCTCCTTCTTTGAAGTTTTGCCAGATTCGCTCGCAGCCGTGTCCTCATTCTCGAGATCGCCTCCGTTCTTGAGCTGCTCGGAAAACGATTTGAGATTCGCCGTAAAGAGCACAGACTGGGCCCAGCCGGCATAGGGCCCCCAGAGGGTCCGAAAGTGGTCGCCGACGGCGTCGTGGATGGCCCGCGAAAACGTCTTGGACGCGAGCTTCTTGAACTTGTAGTCACGCACGGCAATCTGCCATACATGCGTGTCCACCGGCACAGCCTCCCCCCAGCCCAGGCCCATGAGGCACACGCAGTCGGCCACCTTGGGTCCAACGCCGCTGAGCGTCAGTAGCTGCTCGTGGGCCGTCTTGTAGGTGGGCACGCAGGCGTCGGCGGAGCCATCCGTTGCGGTGGCCGCCGTTGCAGCCGCCGCCCCCGTTGTCCATGGTGGCGGACACGCGGGATTCCGCAGCTGGCGCAACCACCCCGGCCCCGTCTCGCACATCATCGCCGCCGTCTGCACAATGTACTTGGCGCGGTAGCCAAAGCCCAGCTGCCGCAGGTGCGCCTCGACGCTCGGTTGGGCGAGCGCAGCGGGCGAGGGGAAATCGTGGTAGTCCTCGCCGTCGACTTGACCGAGCTTGGGGCCGTAGTGCACACACAGCTTGTGGGCCATTTGCGAGATGCGCGCAATGTTGTTGTTGCTGCTGCAGATGAAGCACACAAGCGCCTCCCAGGCGTCCTGGTTCAGGATGCGGATGCCGCTGAACTGCGGCGCCTTTTTGCGGAAGTTGGCGTCGTCGCGGGACCACTGGTCGTAGAGCGCGCGCAGGTCCAGCTGGAGGTGAAAGTAGCGGCGCACGAGAGCCTTTGTGTCGTCGCCGTCGTCATGGACGTCCTTCCCTTCGGCTGGCCGGAGCACGCCCGACGAAGCAGCTACTGCCGCCTCGCTGGGGAAGGCAGCCTTGTAGTACAGGCTCTCTGCATCTTGCCGCAAGGACAGAATCCGGCCATGCAATGTGCAGCGCCTAGGATGTTAGCCAGGGCCCTCGTGCAGTATCGAGAAAATGCATTCCAGACGATGAATTCATACACTCACCATTCGTCGCCGAATTTGCGCCAACGAAAGGACTGGCCGCACCGCAGTGTGGTGTCAATGCATAGCTCCGTCAGTGTAACGGGCAGTTTCTGCCACTGTGCCGCTAATCGCCCCATTCTTGTGGTGCAGCCGTCTGTGAGAAGAAGGTCAACAGTTATACATGTTTACAGAGGTTCAAGCTGAGATGCTGTCTTAGCGATCGCTTAAGTAGCTACATAGGGGATCTGGGCCTTCCGAAGCAGTGGTATGCATGAGAGAAACGCACTAGTCCACATTCGGCTAGTGTACAACGCGATCAAAATTTACTGGGGTGCTTTGCTGCCGGAAAAAACATGCTGGCAAGCAAAAGCTCCAGCCACGCACTTCAGCACTTCACTGCATATGCTTGTTCTGCAAGGCGACGACTGCATCTGAATCGACATCTTTTCGCCTGCCGCATTACGCAACGTCGCCGTCGATTTCATCTCGACACCACCACATACCATCATGAACGGCGAAGGACATTCGCGAGGTAAGCCATTGGGGGATGGCCAAGGCTCTGTCACAAATTGTGCTTTGCGGCGGACAGCTAACACCTCCACAGAAGGGGGACGGCACGGCAGCTCGAGAGGCGAACGCGAACGAGGCGACCGAGGCGACCGAGACGAGCGGCGCGACCACGGCCGCAGCGAGCGAGAAAGAGGTGACCGGCCGCGGAGACGGTCGCGGTCGCCCGACCACCGCGGCGCACGGGGATCGCGGCGCGAAGCGAGGGAACCCAGAGAACCGAGAGAACCGAGAGAACCGAGAGAACCGCGCGAAGCGAGAGACTCTCGAGAAGGCGGTGGGGCCGAGCCCGACAGCTACTCATCGTCACGCAGCCACCGCGACCGGGAACGGGAGGACCGCTACTCGGGCGGCCGGGGCGGTGACCGACGCGAGCGCGACCCTTGGGGTGGTGGCGGCGACAGAGATCGTGAGCGGGAGAGAGACAGAGACCGAGACCGGGACCGGGACCGGGATCGAGACCGTCGGCGCAGGGGACGAGGTGGCGGCGGTGGCGATGACGACGACGACCGCCACAACCGCAGGCGGCGAGGCGACCGCGGCGACCGTGACGACCGTGAGCGCCGACGCAGCGCATCGCCACCGCCCAAGAAGCGCGAGCCCACGCCCGACCTGACCGACGTCACGTCCGTGCTCGAGCGCAAGCGCCGCCTGACGCAGTGGGACATGAAGCCCCCCGGCTACGAGAGCGTCACCGCCGAGCAGGCCAAGCTGTCGGGCATGTTCCCGCTGCCGGGCGCGCCCCGGCAGCAGCAGCAGATGGACCCGAGCAAGCTGCAGGCGTTCATCGCCCAGCCGGCGGCGACCGCGTCCAACAATGCGGCGACCGCGTCCGTGCTCAAGCCGACCAACTCGCGCCAGGCCAAGCGGCTGCTGGCGGCCAACCTGCCGGCCGGCACGAGCGAGGACGCGCTGGTGTCCTTTTTCAACCTGCAGCTCAACGGCCTCAACGTGATTGACGGCTCGGACCCCTGCGTGCAGGCGCAGCTGTCGAGCGACGCGTCGTTTGCGCTCCTCGAGTTCCGGGACGCGGCCGACGCGACGGTGGCCCTGGCCCTGGACGGCATCACAATGGAGGCCGAGGACACGGCCATGACGGATGGCGGCGAGGCGGCGGCCAACAACGCCAACGGTGCTGCCCAGAAAGCCAAAGGCCTGCAGCTGTCCCGCCCCAAGGACTACATTGTGCCCGCCGTCGTCGACTACAGCGGCTACCAGCCGGGCGTCGTGTCCACGGTCGTCGTCGACACGCCCAACAAGATCAGCATCACCAACATCCCGCCCTACCTGACCGACGAGCAGGTCACGGAGCTGCTCGTGGCCTTTGGCGAGCTGCGCGCCTTTGTGCTCGCCAAGGACCGCAGCTCCGACGAGTCGCGCGGCATTGCCTTTTGCGAGTACGCCGAGCCCGCCTCCACGGAGATTGCCATCCAGGGCCTCCACGGCATGGACCTCGGCGACCGCAAGCTGCGCGTGCAAAAGGCGAGCGTCGGCATCGCCCAGGCCGCCGGCATGGAGCTCGGCGTCAATGCCATGTCCATGCTGGCGGGCACCGTCGCCGTCGACGCCACCGACGTCAGCCGCGTCGTGCAGCTGCTCAACATGGTCACTGCCGACGAGCTGGTCGACAATGAGGACTATGAGGGTATGTCAATTTTTTTTTCTTTTTTCTTTTTTTGTCAAGGATCTCACGGCCCACTAACTTTGTAGAAATCCGCGATGATGTCCGCGAGGAATGCGAAAAGTTTGGCACAGTCACCGGCCTCAAGGTGCCCCGTCCCGCCGGCGGCAGCCGCCAGTCGGCCGGCGTCGGCAAGATCTTTGTCAAGTTTGAGACGCCCGACATGGCCACCAAGGCCCTCAAGGCCCTGGCCGGCCGCAAGTTCTCGGACCGCACCGTCATTGCCACCTACTTCCCCGAGGAGAACTTTGAGGTGGATGCGTGGTGAGGGCGATTATGCAATCATGCAACCATGCACGGGCCTGTCTATTTGGGCGTATTTATGCACTCTGCTTTCATTGTTTTGCCTCATCTCTTTCCATCTTTTCCGTTTGTGTTTATCGATGTACTTTGATGTATTGCTGCGCTATGTTCAGGCTGGTGGCAAGGATAGGGAATAAAATGTACAGTTCTTTTGAGATATAAATAAGTAACAGCTACCGGGGTACGGCCTAGGAAGGGCAAATTCAAACGGTTGCAATCTAGTGTATCATGGGCATCGGTCATATGAGAGTGTTTGTGTGTTGATGTAGACTATACCAAATGCCGCTACAGCACCACATTATAGCGCTTGATACACTGAATCAGCACTAAAGGGCCCGTTAATTGTCACTCGGATGCATTATATAAGCTCAGCTGGACGAATTTTAATGGGGATCTGACTCCCACGTGACTACGCGCCCCGCGTTCTGGGGCCTTTCGTGTCCGTCGAGACTTTTGGCGATCGGTTGCCTGCATCCTCTCAATCTGTGTCTACACTACCGAGCCAACAACTGGCTGCTTGCGAGAAATCGCAAGGCAAAAACAACGCGACGACATGAAATATACCACCAATACCACCTAGAGACATGCCGACACCATCGAGGACCCGTGTCGCGGCGCGGCCTGGGGCCGTGCAGAAGTCCAAGCAACAGACCATGACGTCGATGGCAGCAAAGGCGTCGACGACAACACCGTCGTCCAACAGGCTGGGCTCGTCGCCCGCCTCGGCACGGAACAAGATGGCCGCACCCGCAGTCAAGGGCCCGCCGAACAAGAGCATCCTCAGCTTCTTCAAAAAAGTGCCGCCACCAGAAGAGTCGATGTTTGTGGCCGGCTCGGTCGATGCGGTCTGGAAGCAGCTGGCGGCAAGCCAAGGCAACGAAGAAAACGAGGTTGTGGTCGAGGCAGAAGACGAGGTGGGGATGGTGCACGACACAGGAGACCGGTTCAACGAGTGCACAGGATCTGTCAAGCGGCGACGCTTGAGCGAGGAGCAGCCCACTTCCACGCCAACACCAACAGCAAGAGCCACCCAGCGAGGGCCTTTTGTCGACGAATCCGACTCGGATTCGGATGCCGAAGGTGGCAGTCACAGTCAAAAGCGCGGCTCTCTGCGGCCCCCAGCTGCACAAAACGACGAAGCGATCACGCTCTCCCCACGCCGCCTCGAAACCCACACCTCGTTTGACGAGACCTTTCTCAAAATCGACATGAAGACGACCGATACAGCAGAGAACACAGATGCCGACAACGTTGTCAACATCGACGACTTCAACGACCTCGACGACACCGACTTTGCCGGATTTGCGGACCTCGACGACGACGACGACGCCTTTGCTCTTGCCGGCGAAGAGTTCCGCGAGCGGAAGTACATGGAGGCCCAGGCGCGATTAGAAGCCGACGCCGAGGCCGGTGTTCTGGCGAACGACAACCATCCGAGAGACGAAGCAGCCGATGGGTGTCCCATCTGCGGTACGAGTTTGGCCGGCAAGACCTCCGACCAAGCCACCGTACATGTCAACGCATGTCTGGACGGCCTGACGAGCGGCACCGCAAACACCCCACAAGAAGCACCACATCCACCACCACCACCAACCAAGAACACGGCAGCAACACAACACACCACAAGTGAGCCCCGAGCAAGCACCGCCCTGTCCGGCTTCTCCAAGCGGTTCATGCGGACAGCGCAGCCTCGGCCCGGCCAGGCCAACCCCATTGCGTTTGGCGGCAGCGGACCGGGCGGCGTATCCTCGTCCAACGGTCCAGGATCGGCCTTTGCCAAGCTCATGTCCGGCCACGCCGAGGACGAGGCCTGGGCCACCGCCGCTGCGTTCGAGGTGGCCTCCCGCGGCAGGCCCGCATATGAGCGCACCTGTCCCTTTTACAAGATCATGCCCGGCTTTTCGATTTGCGTGGACGCGTTCCGGTACGGCGCCGTCGAGGGCTGCCGCGCCTACTTTCTGAGCCATTTCCACAGCGACCACTACATTGGCCTCACGGCCAAGTGGTGCCACGGCCCCATCTACTGTTCGCAGGTCACGGCCAGCCTCGTGCGCAGCCAGCTGGGCACGGCCGCGCAGTACGTCGTCGCTCTCGATTTTGAAGCGACGGTGCCCGTGCCGGGCATCGACGGCGTCCGCGTCACCATGATCCCGGCCAACCACTGCCCGGGCAGCGCCATGTTTCTGTTTGAAAAGACGATGCAGCCCACCGGGCGCATCCACCGCATCCTGCACTGCGGCGATTTCCGCGCGTGCCGCGCACACGTGGACCACCCGCTGCTGGCGGCGGACACGCTGGATGCGCTCACCAAGAAGAAGAAGCAGCAGCGGATCGACGTCTGCTACCTGGACACGACGTACCTCAACCCGCGGTACTCGTTCCCGCCGCAGGACGATGTCGTGGCGGCGTGTGCGGCGCTGTGCGCCACGCTCGACCAGAGCCTGCGGGCCGGCGACGAGGGCGCGTGGAACACGGCGCTGCGGCGGCGCGCGACCGGCGGCGGCGACGGCAGCGGGAGCGTCAAGGACTTTTTCAAACGGGCCAACAGCAGCGGGGGACCTGGAGACGCAGCTGTACCGGAGGCTGTCACACCGCAACAACCCGTGTCGCCACCACGCGATGCGCTGGCCGTTCTTGGTCGCCGCGCGACCGACCGCGACCGCAACCGTCTGCTGGTCGTCTGCGGCACCTACAGCATCGGCAAAGAGCGCATCTGCAAGGCCATTGCCCAGGCCCTGGGGTCCAAGATTTACGCGTCGCCCGCCAAGATCAAGGTGGTCGCCCAGCTCGGCGACCCGGAGCTCACGGCGCTCATGACGAGCGACGCCACCGAGGCCCAGGTCCACATGCAGATGCTTATGGAACTGCGCGCCGAGACGCTGGCCGAGTACCTGGACGGGTACAAGGCGCACTTTTCGCGGATTGTGGGGTTTCGGCCGTCGGGGTGGAACTACCGCCCCGGCCAAGCATCCGGGGCGCCGGCACCGGGGTCCGCGGCTGTCGCCAGCGCGTCTGGAGCCGCCACCGCCGCCGCCACCCCGTCGGCCGCCCTCGCGCCCTCGACGCTCCCCACCACCACGCTCCTCCACGGCGCCGGCTGGCGCACCCGCTTCGGTGCGCGCGACCTCGTGCCCCAGCGCGGCAGCACGCAGGACGCCATCTGCCTGGGCGTGCCCTACAGCGAGCACAGCTCGTTCCGGGAGCTCGCGCTCTTTCTCATGGCGCTGCGCATCGACAAGGTCGTGCCCACGGTCAATGTCGGCAGCGACGTGTCGCGGAAGCGCATGAAGGCATGGATCGACCGGTGGCTGGCGGAGCGGCGGCGGGGCGGGTTGGTGCAGACGCTGGTGGAGGGCGGTCCAGACGGCAAAGATGGGCAGAAGTCTCGGCTTTGGGACGGCAAGGATGGGAAGGGCGGTGTTGCATATTGGTAGCATTTGAACAACTTGTCATAGCGGTTGTATGATCGGGAAGACCAAAATAACCACCCATAATAATCACTCGCTGTACGGAGTACACGATATTAAAAGCTACAAATCACGTTGGCGCGCTTGGTGCCGTATGACATACAAAATGACATGACAATTGCGTTTATTTGCATGGTATACTGTTCGTTGCTTCGGACAAGGGAAACAAGCTGGCGGCATGGCCGCCGTGTCTCATGCCATCGCGCAGGGGCATGCTGTGGTCCGAGGCATTGTGCCGCGTCTTCATCAGCTCTGCTTGGGTCTCGGTGTACCCCTCGGTTTGCGCTGTTAGGTAGCGAATGTGGCTTTTCGAATGGGGACCACGACTGTCTCGTCCCTCTGTCGGCGTTGTCATCGGATCGTCATCGGATCGTCACCGTCTCAGCTCTCAGCATCACAGCCTACCTTGCGGCGGCCGTGGCTTTTGGAGCGTTGTTTGCAGCTTCTACACGAGGTTAGCTGTCTGCAACTGCATCGTCCCTTCATCGCCACGGGCGTTACATACCTCTCCGTGTCGCATCCTCCAGCAATGGTACATCCACCGCCGCTGCCGGCAAGTGCACGTAGCGGACCACACTGCCGCGGATGAAGACGTTCTTGACGGCGCTCTGCAGTCCAGCGTTAGAGAAACCCAACGAGACATACAAATAGGTAAGACAGATAACGGATGGGGGCCGTCCTGGAGACCCACCAGATGAGGATACTTGATCTCGTCGACGACGGTAATGTCGTCGAGCTTGATGTTGAGGTACTGGTCGACGCTCTTGAGGGTACCGCGGATCTGGATGTCGTTCTTGAGCTCGACAGTGACGGTCGTGTCGATGAGCGTCTTGAAGAAGCTGTGGGGGGATGATGTGTCAGTATGCCCGCATGTTGTCTCATTGCATCTCCTCGTCGTCTTCTCACTCACCTGAAGAACAACATGTTGAAGACGGAGGGCTTTCACCCAGAAAGGAAAGGTAAAGACGCCTTGAGTGAGCTCGTATAGTACCGTCCAGTCCAAACAGGCTTTTTTTTCTACGCAAAGAATCCTCGTCGGGTTGTCGTGGTTGTCGCGTCTGGCGCCAATTCAACTGTCGTGGAGCATCGCTAAATGTCGTCGTTTTTGGCGGGATGCGACCAGCTGCAGCCCGTTCCAAGTAAAAATGGGCCCATGCTTCATATGTTATGTAATCCTTAGTCGCTATCGGATCGGCAAAAATTTTAGTCCGGCACCTGCACGGCTACCAACAGCGCGGTGGCTTTGGCCCAATGGCCGCCTGTAAGGAACTACGCCAACAACAACGCAAGGCAGCAGAAGCTTGAGGTAAGCTCTTTCCCTAGGCGACCGACGCCATTCGCCGCCCGCAGCCGCCTCGTCAATATCACGAACATCAAATCAAACCATTCACAACCACGTCAATCTCTGCGACTCACGACCTCGACAATCGCATTTTTGGATTGAGCGACGACATTACGAGTTTTCGAGTCGATTCCTTCCACCCATCCATCCATCCCTCTGGCAGCACGAGACCGTCGACCCCAAGACCATCGACCCCCTCCGTCGACATCTCCTTCTTTTCCCTCCCGCTTCTGCTCTCTCCTCTCGCCGTCGCGACACACACACACACACACACCACAATGTCCGACCAGGAGCGCGAGCACGCGCTCTCACAGTTCAAGGAGCGGCTCGTCGAGTCGCGCGAGTGGGAGGCCAAGCTCAAAGACCTGCGGCTCGAGATCAAGGGCTTACAACGCGACTTTGACCAGACGGAGGAGAACATCAAGGCGCTGCAGAGCGTGGGCCAGATCATCGGCGAAGTGCTCAAGCAGCTGGACGAGGAGCGGTTCATCGTCAAGGCGTCGTCGGGCCCGCGGTACGTGGTGGGGTGCCGGTCCAAGGTGGACCGGGCCAAGCTCAAGCAGGGGACGCGCGTGGCGCTGGACATGACGACGCTGACGATTATGCGCATGCTGCCGCGCGAGGTGGACCCGCTGGTGTACAACATGTCGCTCGAGGACCCGGGCCAGGTCAACTTTGCGGGCATTGGCGGGCTCAACGACCAGATCCGCGAGCTGCGCGAGGTGATTGAGCTGCCGCTCAAGAACCCGGAGCTGTTTCTGCGCGTCGGCATCAAGCCGCCCAAGGGCGTGCTGCTGTACGGGCCGCCCGGCACGGGCAAGACGCTGCTGGCGCGCGCGGTGGCGTCGAGCCTGGAGACCAACTTCCTCAAGGTGGTGTCGTCGGCGATTGTCGACAAGTACATTGGCGAGTCGGCGCGGCTGATCCGCGAAATGTTTGGCTACGCCAAGGAGCACGAGCCGTGCATCATCTTCATGGACGAGATTGACGCGATTGGCGGCCGGCGGTTCTCCGAGGGCACCAGCGCCGACCGCGAGATCCAGCGCACGCTGATGGAGCTGCTCAACCAGCTGGACGGCTTCGACTACCTGGGCAAGACCAAGATCATCATGGCGACGAACCGCCCCGACACCCTCGACCCGGCGCTGCTGCGGGCCGGCCGGCTGGACCGCAAGATTGAGATTGCGCTGCCCAACGAGGTCGGGCGCCTGGAGATTCTCAAGATCCACGCCGCCAGCGTCATCACCGAGGGCGACATTGATTTTGAGAGCGTCGTCAAGATGAGCGACGGCCTGAACGGTGCCGATCTGCGCAACGTCGTGACAGAAGCGTGAGTGTCCCCCTCCTTGCCCTACCACCTCTGCGGCATTGTAGTTGCGTTTGTTGTGTTTTATTGCGTTTTGTTGCAGCATAGCTAACGTGCACAGCGGCTTGTTTGCCATCAAGGACTATCGGGACGCGGTCAACCAGGACGATTTCAACAAGGCGGTGCGCAAGGTCGCCGAGACAAAGAAGCTGGAGGGCAAGCTGGAGTACCAGAAGCTGTAGACGAGACAGCCGGTGGGCGAAGGGGTCGTGGAGCGTTTACGAACAGGGCGAGCATTGCTTTATTGATGTCATACGGCCATCTTGTTTTCTTGTGCTCTGGTGTTGGGTGCATGTCGCACTGCGTGTATAAATAGAACAAATGTGTTGACGGCAATTGACGTCGATCCAAAGCACGCGCAAGACATTGGCAAAGATCCCAAGTGACTGAACTGTAAAGTAGCCTCTCATCATGAGGTCGGATGCAACACTGCGGACGTGGATATATCGGAATTTGTGATTGGACCGGATTTCGGAATTGAAAAGTCCGGCCTTTGACGCCCTCATAGAGACTACGTCAACTTTGGTCGTTCTTTTCATGTCAAGACATAGAAACACATGAGATGACTAACATGCGATGCACAGGACCAGAACTATTCAACTTGTACTTGATTACCTCTTGTGTGTGGGTTTGGAAGCCGTGTCGACACTGCCGTCACCAACTCCGCCAATTCCGCCAACTCCGGCTGCTGACTAACAATCCCGATTGCACTGAACGACATCACAGCACGAGCGACGGCGAAGGCCTCAGGACTCATTCCGGTCGTCCCCTTCCACGGTCATGGCCGGCGGCAGGTCGGTAGAGGCGGCGTCCCGCGGGCCCAGCCATTCGGCGCCCTACGGCCAGGCATGCCTGCACTGCTTCAAGGCCAAGTGCCGCTGCGTGTCTCGGCCCGACGGCGACGGCTGTGAGCGATGCCACCGCCTGCAAAAGACGTGCCACTCGTCCGAGGCCATCCGCAAGCGCAGCCGGCCGAAAGCATCGGCCGCCGGGGCGACGGCGGGAGTACTGCGGTCTGCGGACGCCACCGAGGAGCGCGTCGCCACCATCGAGGAGAAGCTGGACGGCATCATGACGATGCTGCAGGCGGTGACACAGGCGCCGGCCAAGGCGGCGGCGGCGGCGCTGCGGGACGTCTTTGGCGGGCGGATGGACGAGCACCTACGGGGTGTGTTGCACGACGGCGACAGCGACGGGACGCAGATGGAGCAGCAGCCGCTGCCGCTGCCACCGCCCATTGGCCAACGGCCACAGACGCAGAGTCCGCGTCAATCAGATACACCGACCTCTCTGTCGACCAGCCCGGCCACTGTCGAGGGCGCCCCAGGAGCCGGCGCTGCCGCATTGGCACGCATACCGTCGCCCGTACTCTATGAATCGCTGTCCCAGGAGGCACGCGACCACGCCTGGTCGGTCTTCCGGTCGACCTACCTGCCGTATTGCCCGTTTCTGTGGTTCCCGCCCGAGACGACGTCCGCCCAGCTGCAGCGCCATCGGCCCTTTCTCCTCCGCTGCATCGTCGCGTCGACCACGACGCTTGTGCGCGACAAGGCGGCCCAGGGCCGCGCCATCAAGGAGCAGCTGGCGCGCGAGATGCTCGTCGACAACCGGTCGAACATGGATCTGCTGCTGGGCCTGCTGGTGTTCATTGCCTGGGGCTCGGATCCCATGGTCAGCCGCAGCGGCACGCTGTCGCGGCTGGTGATGCTGGCGCTCTCTTTGGTCTGCGACATGCGCCTCCACAAGCCGCTGCCGGCCGACCAGCACATGGTGACGACGTACACAGGCGACGACCCAAAGTGCGACGAGAAGGGATACGAGAGGGTGCCTGCAGCTGCCGGCGTTGCCGCAGGCGTTGCAGACGTTGCAGACGTTACAGACACTGACGGCATCCATCTCTCCGACAGCGAGGAGACACTTGCGAAGCAGCGGGCCGTGTTGGGCTGCTTCCTCATTGCGTCGTCGTAGGTCCCCACTCCCAACATGCCCTCACCCCTGTTGCCAGGCAACACGCTGACCGACCCAGAACCTCCATTTACTTTGCACAGATTGACGGCATGCGCTGGACGCCGCAGATGGCCGGCTGCCTGCGCGCCGTCGAGGCACACACGGCTTGTCCCGGCGACGTCGTGCTGGCCTACCAGGTCCGTCTGCAGCAAATCGTGCAGCGGGCCGTCCACGCGCGCGAGCACGAGGCCGCCCTGCCGCTCTACATCACCGACGCCTTCCGGACGCAGCTCCACGAGCTCACGGCCGCGCGGCCGCAGTTTCCGCCCGCCATGGCCATGGACATTGCCAGTGGCCAGCAACACCAGGACGCGCCGTCTCCTGTCCAGCTGTGGACCGCCGTCTCGGCCGCCCACGAGCAGTATGTCGAGCTCAGCCTCAGCGAGATGACCTTTTCCGCCGCCGACAGCCCCAGCGCGGCCGATGCGCCCACCACCGAGGAGGGATCCACCACATCGACCGAGACTGACGTCGACCGCGTCCAGTGCTACTGGCGCTCCGTCCACGCCATCCGCGCCCTCTGCGATGCCCTGCTGGACGGCGTCCCGCCCACCGCCTTTGCCGGCGTCTCCTTTATGGTCTGGGCCCAGCTGTTCCGCGCCGTCGTCACCCTCGTCCGCCTGTCGACGCTGCCGCCCCGGGCGCCTCGTGTCGACGTGGCCATTGACGCCCGCGCCGTCCGCGCCACCGTCGACTTGCTCGACGTCCTGGACCGCTTTGCCGAGCGGCTCAAGAGCGCCGCCGCCGGTCTTGGCCGTGGTCTGTGGCGGGGCCCGCAGCGCCAGATTGACGACGTTTTTGGGCGCATGGCCCACCTGGTGCGTGTCCTCCGGGCCGCCGTGGCCACGCGGCTGGAAACGACTGCGGTGGATGGGGATGGGGATGCGGATGCGGATGGGCACAGTCGCCTTGCAGCGAACGACACGGCCGAGCCCCCGCCATGGCACCTTGTCGAGACGGTGATGGGGCAGACGACGGTTGGCTGGGGCGACATTTGGCTCGAGGGCATGTTCCCGCGGTTCTAGCCGGGGACGGCTCGACCTGTTCGCTGCCATGATTGTGTTTTTTCCATGTATATTTCTTGAATATCCACGTGTCACGCACGCCAAGATGCCAAGCCGACGACTACCGTCGCCCCCGGAAAGCTTGTCTTGAACCTCTCAACGTCACAGCTCGTCAAAGCTTTTGCAAACTTGTCCTGTCGCGTGCCTTTAGGGACCACTCGGCTCTGATCCTTTGTCCAACAACACAACCACAACACATCGTCAAGATGCAACACAAAGTGGCAATGCGAGCCGCACTGGCCCAAAGTATCACCATGCACATGCTTGTGCCGTCCCATACCATCCCATACTATCCCATACTATCCCATACCATCCCATCCCGTACCCAGTAGACCACATACTTCCATTCAAATTTACTAAAATACAACGGATCGCTTTCGCCACGCGGTTCCGGTCAAGGTGCATGTGCGTGGTTGTCCAATGAGGCGCAGAGACGCACATCCTGACCGAGCGCGTGGGTTAGGCAGACTAGGGACGATGCAGGGAAGGGGAGAGTAGAGAAGTAGAAAAAGGCGCCTATTTTGGTGTCGACTAAAGGCTCCCGTCGGTCACGGAAACAGCATGAAGAAACAGGACTACCTACCGAGTACGGCAATAAAACAATAGTACGCAATACTATCAAAACAGCTTCGACAACCATCTTGTCAGACGCACACGCGTCAGCAGTCTGGTCCTATTTGTTTCCCACCACAACATACATCGCCATGCCAAAAAGAAAAACGCTCCGTGTTACAACGTAACGTTTTTGTGCTTTGCTTTCTTTTCTGCAGCAAAGTGACAATTTGCTAGCTCCCGTCGGCCATGTCCGGTGGAGCAAAAAAAGGAGACACATGCAAAGGAGAAACAAGACGGAGTGAGAAACGTGGAGAACAAGGGCAAGGTACGTGGTTCGGTGACACTAGAAGGGGAGGAGCTGCACGAAGAAGAAAACCACAGGGACATAAAGCGAATAAAAAATTTAAAGCTTCACGAGTGCATATGCATGAAGATCCCCACTGGTTCCTTTTCCGTTCATAATCGTTCTTTGGCGACCTTGGGTCCAGTCGTCGGTGGCACGCGACGTGCAGCCGTCGGTAACGTGTCGACAGTGTACAGAGGACGCCGAAAGACTAGACGAAGGCGTGTGTAAAGAGATCGGAGATGACAATCGCTGACAAGAAACCATACCATACGCCGAAGGACCGACAACCCCGTCGACACCGAACAGGCTGCAGGCATAAGACAGGATCTAACTGCGCGCCAATCATGGCTGTTAATAGTTGAAAAGATGTTGAAAAAGAAAACTTTACAAAATTAAAATTAAAATTAAAAAAAAAAAAAACACTCTTTCTCACCACCGCGATTTAAACGCAAAGGAAGATGAAGGAGGGCTTTGATGGAGTTGATGGATCTCTCGAAACCAACGTCTCGGTCAGTCCCCGAATTGGGAAACTATTACAAACTACTTTGTACGGAGGAAAAGGCGCATGTCGAGGTCAAAATAAGCGCAGACATGTACTCCGTACGCGCAGCTCGGAATATGAGAATTTGTCAGTTTTGTTCATGTACAGACTAGTTGTCCTGACAAAAGAACAAGGTACGAAATATTTGTGGCCAGGACGGAGGAAGACAGGGACACGGAGCGAGTACGACCATCCCGACATAACGATGGGAACGACAAAACGGACACGAGAAACTGTAAAATAACAAACGCGATGTTCCGAGGAAATGGAAATTGCAAGCGCCATAAGAAAAATATAATGTCCATTGGCAAGGTAAACAAAGGAAAAGGAATTTGAAGAAATTTCTTCTAGCTCCTCGTGTAAGTGAACGAATATCAAATATAAAATTGATGCCAAAACGATAAAATCAATAAAATCGATAAATGCTGAATCCACCAAAAATAATTAAATATTGTCCCATTTTCTGCAAGCAAGGGGGCCTGAGCTTTCCGGAGTGGGCGTCGAACGGCGACGGCGTCCTGGGAGAGAGGTGCAGGAAGCGCCTTGGCTTTCTGTCGGTTTTACCGTCTGGGGTGCAAAGGCAGGGTGTAAAGATACATGAGTCGTCCATACAAAGAAACAACAAGTCACACGTACTGCTCTCTCTACCAGAGAGAAACGCCATGGGAAAGGGCCGCTGGGTACGGTGCATTGCCCTATTTGCTTGGCAATGCGGCGCCGGAGGATGAAGGAGGGGGGGAGCAAGGCGACGAAACGCACCAAACAGACGAAAACGTGCACCGAGCTCAAGCTCTGGATGGGTCCTCCGTCGGTGGGCGGAAGGGGGCCGCGGTAGGTGGGCAGGGGGAGGGGGGTGGGAGAATATGTGTGTGTGTGTTGTGTGAGACTCTTGAGAGTGTGGCAGGCAAGGCTTGGCAAGATCACGCCCTTGACACCAAGTCGTCCTCAACAGAGCCAAGCAGTCTCGCTGACGGACGTGTGTGCATGGCTCCCGCACGCTCACAGGCCCTCTGAAGGAAAAAGCCAAGGGAAATTGGATCCAGCTGGGATGCAGCTGGGACGGATTGGGACAGATTGGGAAAGCCACAGCGCGCGAGGCGAACGTCAGGACCACTTCGTGCCAATACCAAGACGTCGCCATGCCGGCACACACGTCTCGGCATCGGTGCTACGAGGCCATCTCCCGTCATTTTGCCCTCCGAGTCCTCATATCTGGTGAATTTTTCCTCTTCATCCTGGCAACCCAACGCCTTTCCCGTGCGCCCAGCAGCTCCTCCCCCAGTTCTTGGCTGCTCTTAGCTGCTCAGTACCGTTACCAAAAGCTTGTCTTGACAAGCGCTGCCGAGAAACAATAGCTAGTTCCTTGGGGGGATGGTGTTGGTGACGCTGTGGGAAGGGTGACAATGCTCATCGCCAAGACCGCCTGGGAAAGCCAAGACAACAGGCGATGCGCGGCCCCATTGGGGATCTGGCAGCCGTTTCGATGCCGGAATTGACTGGTAGTCCGGGGGGCGACTCTGACGTCGTCGGATGTGAAGCCAAGAGCGGCCAAGATATCCTGCTGTCCAAGACAAATGTCGCGATGTCGATGCAGCGACGAAAACACGATACGGAAATAAATTGTGTGCAGCAAAACAGGATGCTAGTCTTGATAAAAAGACCATCCCAGGGGCAAGGACAGGCGAAATAGAGTGTGCACGAAGCAGGGCACTACTCACTTCAGCCGTTCACGTTGCTTCCATGTGTTCCGAGCGCAGACGGGACAGCAGCCATCGTGCCATCGTTCCACTGCAAAATGCAGCTTTTCTCGGCAAAGGCAAAGAACCAGCAAATGAAGATGGTACGCCTGGTAAACCAAGACGAGTACGACAGAACACACTCTTGCCCATACGAAACAAGAGAAGCACACTGAAAGCCAAGAGCGCATGGCAGGAAAACAAAACAGGATGCGCGAAACAGCCAAATCAAAGGGACGTTGAAATGGACCAATAGAAAGCCGTCCTGCGACGACGTGCTCCTACCCCAGGCTGCGATACGTAGTCTGTAGTCTGTACTGATAACGCCAAATCGCTTTATCGATTTTTAGGCCCTGCAATAAAAAGCCACACAAAATGCATCGCACCAAACGCCCTTCACCTTCACCAAATGAAAAGAAAACGGGGACAAGAAACAAACACAGGTGGACAGGAGGACTTTGTGTTGTTGGGGGCCGTCCGGCTGCGACGGCAGAGGCTGAGGGAAGCGACAGAACGGTCGACGGCGTCCGTACGAATTACGGCGAGACGAAATACGATACGGCGTTGCGACAAGGTGCCGCAAGTCGATGGTCTCGCGACCCTGAATCGTGATTGGCAGGGTGCCAAATGAGTGCATTCGAGGTGTGCGAGTTGAGAGAGAAACGAGAAGCCAACTGCTAGTACTTCCTGCCCGCGCCAATTCTCGTGCAAATGGATGTACCCGCAAAAGGCTCAGTAAGAAAGCACGTGGGCTCGTTGCTGCGCTCTGTTTTGCTACTGTGCGAAAAAAGAGGGGCCAGTTGGTGGGGCGGGAGGCGCCTCCCCTCCAACTCAAAAGCCGGGACAGGGGTTCGTCGGTGCGCGGGGCGGCCTTCCAGACCTCTCATCGACACACGTGTATAGATCCGCTGCGCTTATTGGCTGCGTGGTCTGGAGTCGAAATAGCGTGGGAGAGTTTGAGCAAGGACCCGCTCATCTTCAAATCCGTCGAGGGAAAGAGCAAAGAGGAAAAAGTGTCGAGGGCACCGCCTTGGTGCAGTGGGGGTATGAGCGAAAAAAACAGTGGATGGCAAGAGCGTTTCTTGGTCTTTCCTTGGCGACATGGAACGTCAAGAAGGGCACGCGAGCATTCACTCAATGCGGAAACGGCGATTGCTCGGAGCGAAACGAAACGAGAGCGTCAGAGGTTAAGCGGTCGGGTGGAACAAGAAGAGACGGAGTGGAGAGCATGCGACATACGATGTACGCATGACAGCAGAACAAGCGCGCAGGACGACCGATGCCAACTCGAGGTCACCGACGAGGCAGTTCAGTTAGTACGTCGTAGTAAAACAGCAGGCTCTGTGGCAGGCGCGACGGGCTGGCCGCGAGCCAGCAACACCAGAAGGAGCGACCCGACGAGGAGGACGCCTGACGCCAGAAATAGCAATTGGGCTCTGTCGTGATGAAGAGGCAGTACGACGTACAGAGGACAAGCGTGCAGAGACTCGTCATCCGACATGCGACAAGACATCGTACGCATCTCGTCTGAATCGTGCAGTTCGACATTCCTTGCATTTCAGTTCTCTGGTCCAGGGCCACCTGTGGACGAAAGTGCTTAGCGGAGACCCAAGCTAGATGGCGGTCTAGCCGCTTTGGGCAGGTTTTGCTGACCCAGGGGTTTTGTGTCTGACTCGGTCTTCCCTTGCCATCCGTCAGTTCGTTTTCTATTTTCACTCATAAAAACGAGCATCGCTATTTCCTGCCCGGCGGGCACGAGCACGCTGCTGCCCTTTGTCGTACC